TAGTTGGTTTGTGAAGGTAATGCTGTGAAAAGGACATTATCCCAAGACAGTGATGGTGAGTCACTGAATCTGGGGTGGCTCCTTAAGAGCAAACTTTGTATTTCAGTGCAGGCAAAAGTCCAAACTTGTCTGCCACCTCTCTAAATATGGGTCTTCTCTGATGTTCAATTTGCTAACTCTTTATTTGAGACTAAGCTTATAACAATAACATCAAATGACAAAGTTTGGAGGCTTTTGGTGAGGTTTTCTTTTTCACTCTGAGGAAATCTGTCTTTCAAATGTCTCTTAATTGAAAAATGCCCCTTAATACAGTTGGGGGGACACAAGGAACTCACTATGGCTACTTAAACTTTGACTTGTGACTGTCTAAGCTTAGAATCACAGAATAGTTGAGGTTAGAAAAGACCTCTAAACACCATAGTCCAACTCTGCTGAAGTGGGGTCAGCTTCTTTAGCTCAGTGTCCTTTCTTCTAGGTCCCAGTCCTGCAAGCAGTTTGCAAAATCAATAGGATGATTCTTGGCTGTGACCCTTCTATTGCTTTAGGTTCTAAACTTGACATGATGAAGCCTGTCTGGTGAAGTTCTCCATTATAAACCTGCTGTTTCTCATAGCTTGTTGCTTTGCTGTCTTGGTGAGGTGCTTAATTGCTCTATGATCACTTGTTCTTAAAAATGGAACACATGTTAGAGCAATCAAGCACCTCACCAAGACAGACTGAAGTAGTAACTAGCTGGCTAATCTACTTCAGAGAGAAGTGATACAATTTCAGTAAGAGTTCTCTTGTGACTCCTGACAGTTGGCAAGCATCCCAAGTGACTCATCTTTAAAAACACTACAGAATTCACAACGCTGTATTTACTCAATCATAGAGAAGCTATGATTATTACTGAGCAGACATTAAGGAGACAGATATATATGGAAAATGTCATCTTTGCAGGCCCAGTGAAGTAAGAGTACTAAATTATAATTTGTTGCTTTTCAAGTGATAACAAATGCAATGTGAATTTGTCAGGGCATCAAGGCTGGCTTCTCTTAATGATGAGAGAAAGCTATAAAATCTCTATTTTTGTCAGCTTTAATCCTATCTTTTTTAGAAAATCAACTTGTTAAATAGTGTGAAGCAAGAGCCTTGAAGAAACGAATGGGCTCTATAAAAGAGAGTTTATAGCTCAAGTCTGACTCATGGAACTTGTAAAGCACAGTAGGAAACAGTATTAGACTCCTGCAGGAAGTGTCTCATGCATCAGAGTTGAAGCCAGATGTCTTGGACGCTGTTTAAATCCTGTAAGGATCTAAGTGCCATAAAAACAGGTAGTAATCATAGTGTTTTACTCTAATAATTACATTGTTTTACTAGCTCTTTAGTACTTTCACAGAACACCTATAGATAGACTGGCTTGCAAGTATCCTGTGAGGGGTTTTTATGTCAGGTTCTCATTTACTTTTTGATGTTTTCTGCTCTACTCAAGCCACCTGAGACTTTTCAAGGTTTCTTTCCTGAAGATGAGTGGGAATAATCACTTAATGACATGTTTTCATTCTATTCCTGACAACTTTTGGCCAGTGCAAAAATCCTGCTTTCCCTTCTCCCTGAAGTACAACTTACCAAGCTGAGAGCAGAGTAGGTGGTGACACTGGCAATGGATTTTCATGATTTTGAGGGCAGGGGGAACACTGGGAAGAGGACTAGGAAAACCAACAGCAGAGCCCAGGGGATATGAGCTGAGCCAAATGACATGTCTAGCAAGTGAAGAGAGCTGCCCTACTGGCACACCAAAACCATGCTAGGTTATTCTTGCAGAATCAGCTCCCTTTTATGAAATTGTCCTGACTTCTGAACATTGTACTTGCAATGAATTTACATTCATCTATACACAGGATTTAAGTGTGAGATGATAGACATAAGATCAATGTAGTTAGAAGATCTAAAATCTGATGTAGCTAAACACACTAAATGAACAGGCTATGAGGTACAATGGTCTACCATTAATATGCTCCTTGAAGCATGAATAGTTTTATCCCAAATAAATTGCGTAGCAGTGGTCCAAGTCCTTGGGCAAATAAGAGAGAACATGCAGGTCTTCTGGGAGAGAAACCTTCCCAGAGTGAAAAGTTGGTGTGCCCAAAAGTGAAGTCAATGAGTCTGATTCCTTTGGATACAGGGAAGTAAACACTACTGAATACGAGCTGCTCAGACTTCAGTTTTAAGTTCCACTACTGTTGGAAGTGGTCAAACTTGTGCTGTATTTATCCATAGCCTTTCTGAAGCAAGAAGCATCCTTGAGGGGGATGCCTTCTGAAGTTGGTGTAGCCTCTGGGACTGCTGCCCACCAGGAGCCCTTCAGAAGCTCAGGGCTTCTTAACTTTTCTAAATGCAGGCAAGGAGAGCATCTAGCACCAGTAGCATCGGTCACTGTGTCTGCAGGCTTCTGGGTGTGATCCACTTAGTAACAGGAGCTGGAGGTAGAAGGCATTCCTGATGGGCAGGATTACTAGATAATCTTCCAAAATGAGGCTTATTCCACTAAGAGTTGAAGCAGCTGACTTGAGCCACTTTGAAAAATGAAAACCTTCTTAGTACAGCTGTTTCTACACACTCACAAGTCTGCTTTGAAAATATTTCAGTGCATCTAAACAATAAGGCAAGTGCTCTTGTCCTTGGGGCACCTTTGTTGGAGAGAGCAGCCAAGAGCATTAAGTAAACCTAAATACTGCTCAACTTTATCAACTGTATTGACTCAGTTAATCCTTAAAGTTGTGGGGCAGCTTCATGATACTTGGCAGTGAAGAGAACTAGTCAGCAGGAGGATTTCAAGCATCTGAGGGAGTTATGAGAAAGTGAAACAAATAAGGTCTTTGAAAAAACAATTTTTACAGCATGTTTGTTCTAGCATAATTGCACTTCTGTTCTGGAGCTTGACTAGGAAAACAGATAAAAGCTGCTTCCTTGCACTTAATGCTCTTAAGAGTACTGTTTGATCGCCTTTGCAGTTACACAACATGAAATCAATGGGAAAGAACAGCAAGTATCCAGTAGTGCTCTTAGCTCTGTTTTTCTGAAGGGGAAAATTAACTACTCAGCAAGGTTGAGCGATCCCCTGTGTTGGGGCAAGCTTCTTCAGGCCGAGTAACCTAATATAGTATTATAATGGCATAGTCTTGCATAATGTATAGTCTTACATATTTCACTTCCTAAATTTATGTCCTTTTTCACAAAGTAAATACTATCAAGTTGGCTATTTTTGCTGTCTGAGTTAGTGTTGACTGAAATGAAAGAAAATCAATTCATTAGCCTCACACTTACAAGTTCAGCTTAACATCTCCAAAGTATGAATTCACAATGTGCAACACTTGCCTTGGGCAAGCGATGGTGCTGTTGAAAGCATGTTAGTTTGTCAATTACATTAGCTTTATTGGCCAGCTACTAGCATGGCAAAGTGGTTTGGCTTTTTTGTACACTGGACCATGTTGTAAGATGAATGGGTAATGTTGCCCTCCAGTGGCTAACGTCTAGAGGATACAGAACCTGTTTGCACTAGTGATAAAGAACCAGTCGTTGGGGAAGTCTGGGATGAAAGGGTAGGATGTTAGCTTAGACCTGTAGTCTATTTAAAAAGGACAAGTGCTGACAGTGTGTGAGAACTTAAGTGTTCAATATATTGAAGGTTGTATTAGGACTGAAGTTTTTCCCTCAAGCTGTAGTGAAGAAGGACGTGATTTCGGGGGGCTCTCCTCTATTCATTGAGAGAGTTCCTTTTAGCCACTCACTGTCTGATCAGATCAGTTTGTTGCAGTATGACCTTAGCTTTGTACAGAAATCAGAAATAGCTGCTGGATTTGGCTTTACAGTAGCAGTTTCTCAATGTTAATATTTGAATGGACTTTCCAAAAACCCCTAAAATAATGTATTTACTAGACTCCTGCAAAATAAGATGTCTTATTTTTGTCTAGAGCCACCTATGCTAGCTTGTAAATCCATGGCTTATTTCATAAACTGATATTCTTAGCTAATATATTTACAGCTCAAGTGATGTAAAGTATCTCCATGGCTCAGAATGGAAGGGGAAAGCAATAAATCTGTCTTCAACAACTTTGGTAATATGTTGAGGCTTGATGGAGGGAATAGCCAGCTCCTCTCCATTTTGGTTTCTTTTAATGCAAAGCGAAGCAATGCTTCATAGAACTCAATTCACTCCAGCCCAGTCAGAGATGAAAAAGATTTTCACATTTCATCTTTGAAGCCGTAGGTGTAAAGCAAAAAGTTTATTTTTGCTCTTTTCGGTCTAAAACCGAGTCTTACCTTCGAGTACGAACTCCCTCCAGCCAGCCCCAGCCGTGCCTGGGATGCTCGGCGGGGAACTGCGGCAGGCAGCTTGCCCAGCAGCCACGGAACTCGCCGTGCCCGTGGCGAGGCCAGGCCAGGGGTACCTTGCTCCGCGCATCTTGGCTTTAGGCTGGGCCGTGCGGGTGGGCAGCACCGAGGAACTGAACGGAGCCCCGGTGGGCGTTACAGTCGTGTGTGTCGTCCCCCCCCGCTTCACCCAGTGGGCTGTCCCACACCGCAGCCCGCAAAGCTTGGAAGCGGGGAATCCCGGGCGCGGGGGGGG